CTGAATGAACTGATGGTGCCTGGCTCTCTGGGCACGGGCACTGAGCTGTGCGCTCACTGGTATTATCCAAAGGCTTATGAAGAAAGATACCTGAGAGGAAAACCCACCTAAACACATAAAAGAGGCAAAGTCATTTAATGAGTTCCAGAATTAACTGTCCCACTTTGACACAGTTTCCTACAGTAATAATGAGTATTTCACTTAGAGTCATTGCTACTTACCGTGGATATTTCTCATGTATTCATTCCTCACTGACTCCTCACCATAACCCTATGAAGTAGGTACTACTATTCCCATTTTACAGATGAGGAAACTGAGGCTCCTAAAGCTGAACAATTTGCTCAAGGTCACACAGTGAATGGGTGGCAGATCAGAGATTCAAACCCAGTTGCCTGAATCCAAACCCACACTATGAATTCTGAACCTCTGTATTTTACTGCCTCCATATTTCTACTGAAGTGACTTCCTTTAAAAAACAACAAAACAAGTTTTCTCTCTGCCAACTTGCAAAGACTTCATAGGGTAAGAGTCTAATTCAACCCAAAGGCTTGTCTTACTTATACTTAAGGCACAAATGCAGTTTTAGGTGTCTCTAAAGAATGCCATAGAGAGAAGTCTGCCTTGCTTATCTGAGAGGTCCCACTTCTAACCCAGAATTTAGGCAGTTTTACAATAGGGTTTCTCAGCCCGTCTTCCATCAACAGAGGCATTCTTAAACTACCTCACAGGGTGGTTTTATTTTTAAAAAATAGAGAGAGTAGAAACAAAAAGGGAGAAAAACGGTGGCAGTAAGTTTTGTTCTCTAACAGTACAAAAGTGAAAACTACCTAGTCTTAAGCTCCCCTTAAACTAAGCAAAACCCACTGCTGTCTAGTCGATTCTGGCTCATAGCAACCCTACAGGATAGAGTAGACCTGCCCCATAGAGTCACCCAGGAGCAGCTGGTGGATCTGCACTGCTGACCTTTTGGTTAGCAGCCAAGCTCTTAACCACTACCCCACCAGGAAACCCATAATTTCCCATGGTTTATGGAATTCTCGTCTTTCCTCTCCCAACCCCAAACCACCATCCCAATTTCCACGACAGCAGTATGGAGCATGGAGGCAGCTCTCAACAGCTTCCTTGCCTTATGATCATGCTCCACACCTCCTAACCAAGAATGACAGAGTATTCTCTCTCCCTACTTTTGAAATGGAGCCCCTACCCTCTCTTGCAGCAAGGTGTGGGTAGGTAATTAAGTTCTAGCCAACAGGATATGGGCAAAAGTATCTTGTGGCAGCTTCCTTCCTTAAGTGACACTAAGAATGTTCTTTGCCCCTTTTTTCCTTTCTCCTGGCTAAAACCAGGATGTGATGACTGGGGATTCCAGCATCTTTCCTGGATCATGAGATAAAGGTCCTTCCCTAGGGACGGTAGATCAGAAAGCTGAAAGCAACCTAGAGACCTGGGCTCCGGACTGCTAACTTATGCTAGAGAATAAAACCTTATGTATTTTCTATAAAATATTGATCCCACTTTAAATACATCTTATGATAAAATTTGTGGTACCAAAAATAATCAGCTAATAAGGAATTCCTCTATGATTCCAGAATTAGTCCTAGGCAACTCTGAGCCCAGGGATAACCTTCTCCCCATTCCAGGATGTCACCACCCCAAGCATCTCTATTTCAGGGGCTGCCAATCTGCCCCACCACTCTCTCACGCCTCCTCAAGTGGACTTGTCCAGTTCAAACACAATACACTGTGAAGTAGTGACATAGGGTGGCCAGATGTTCACAGCTGGATTTTGACTCTCACCTGGTAGCCAGTTCCACAGCAAAGCAACCCTGCAGAGCCAGTCTTCTCTCACACCAGCTGCCCTGCCATCGGGGGAGTTTGGGGGCAATCTAAGAGCTGGTATTTTCTTTCTTTCTTTCTTTCTTTTTTATTGTGCTTTAAGTGAAAGTTTACAATTCAAGTTAGTTTCTCATTCAAAAATTTATACACACATTGTTATGTGATCCCTAGTTGCTCTCCCTATACTGTTACAGCACACTCCTTTCCACCCCTGATTTCCCAGGTTCATTCAACCAGCTCCTGACGCTCTCTGCCTTCTCATCTCGCATCTGGACAGAAGCTGCCCATTTAGTCTCATGTATCTACTAGAGCTAAGAAGCACACTCTTCACGAGTATCATTTTATGTCCCACAGACCAGTCTAATCTTTGTCTGAAGAGTTGGCCTCGGGAATGGTTTCAGTTTTGGGCTAACAGAGAGTCTGGGGGCCATGTCTTCCGGGGTCCCTCCAGTCTCAGTCAAACCATTAAGTCTAGTCTTTTTACTAGAATTTGAGTTCTGCACCCCACTTTTCTCCCACTCCGTCAGGGACTCTCTGTTGTGTTCCCCGTCAGGGCAGTCATTGGTGGTAGCTGAGCACCATCTAGTTCTTCTAGTCTCAGGATGATGAAGTCTCTGGTTTATGTGGCCCTTTCTGTAAGAGCTGATATTTTCTGAGTGCTTCTCCTATGCAAAGCTCTGGTCCACGCATCTTAAACATGACACCAACTTCGAATCTCTCAGTAACTTTCTAGGGTAGGTACCTGCTATTGGTCCCATTTTATAGATGAGGAACTTGAGGCACAGAGGCTAAGTAATATGACTAAGAAGTCTCAAAGCCAGGATTCAAACCCACAGTGACTTGCCTGATAACCTGTGCACATGACCACTACTCTACACTGCCTCTCAAGAGGGAGGAGGAAAAGAAAGGAGATTTTAAAAAGGGGTGGGGGGCTCTCCTACCTAAAGTGGCCATATTTCATTAGAAACCTAAATTCTGCTTTTCTCTCACCACACCAGAAAATTCCTATCATTTTCCAGGCTTCGAATAAAGGGATTTCCTATGTGCATCAGATACATCACCTGCATGTTCTGAAGTGCCTTTCCCAACCACCAATGACAGCAGAGCAGATGGGAGAGGAGAGCAGCAGGAAAATGTTTTCAAAAATCACCCCTGACCTCAGCAAGACCCAAAGACAGAAACGGATTCATGGAAGTAAAAACCCATTGCCATCAAGTAGATTCTGACTCATAGCAATCCTACAGGACAGAGTAGAACTGCCCCATAGGGTTTCCAAGGAGTGGCTGGTGGATTTGAACTGCAGACCTTTTAGTTAGCAACTGAGCTCTTAACCACTGCGCCACCAGGGCTCCTTTGGAAGTGAAAGGCAACCACAAAGAAGAAATTAGACACATTCCAGCACCAAGACACCATTAGTATTTTGCCTGAGGGGGGTCAGACATAGTTCGAAAAAACAATCCAAACTGCTTACACCAGGGACTAAATCGTTGCCACTTAAATAAGAACCTGGGGAGTCCTCTGGGGTGGTCCGTGAGACCGAGGCTCCAAATCTTCCAAGGAGAGGCTGAGCTGGGCCTGGCCTAGATCTCAGGTGAGAGGACTGAGAGTCTCAGAGGACAGCAGTGCCATGCTGCCAAGCGTTTTGCACAACTGACAATGGCGCCTACACTCACCGGGGGTCACTTCACTTTTCCCTGGAGGGTGGACCTGCAACCACAAGGCTGTCAGTCAGTGATAAGTCACAGCTGAGACTCTTTAATGTTCAAAGGCTTTCTTCTCCTAACTTTCACCCAGTTCACCACGGTGGTCAGTTTGACCTTAAGACACACCCTAGAAATGAGACATTTCTCACCAAACTGGCCTAAAATTAGGGGAAAAAAAACTTTCCAGGGGAGAGTCTGAAAACTAAACACCTACAGGGGCCGGGCAGGGGCCGGATATGGGTGAAGCAGGTCTGCCTGGGATCAGCTGTGACAAAATAGTGAATGTGTGCCCTGTCTCTGAAAATCATTTGCTCTCCAGCTCCAAAGGATTGCTGTAAGAAGGAAAAGTGGGACCATTTCTCAGTAAAATTGGAAATTCTGATTCATATGTGAAATCTCCCAGTTCTAAAATGTTGGCATCAAAATCAAAAAATGTTTAAGACCTCCCTAAGAGCTGAACCTGGGTCGTGCAACGGTTAAATGATGAACTACCAGTCAAAAGGGTGGCAGTTCAAACCCACCCAGAGGCGCCTTGGAAGACAAGTCTGATAATCTGCTTTCAAGAGGTCACAGCCTTGAAAACCATAGGGAGCAGTTCGACTCTGCACAAATGGGGTCGCCGTGAGTCGGATCGACTTAACGGCACCTAACAACAAGGGCTAAACAAGTCTACAGGTGATTTGACCCTGGGCAGTCAATTTGTAACCTGTCTTTTATGACAGTAGCCTGAGACAGCCAAGGTCCCCTTACCCATGATTAAAAGTCATCACTATGGAGTGGTTAGAGTCAAGGATCCCAACCCAGATGAAAGGACCAAGGAAACCAGTCACTTGAAGTCCTTCCTGTATCCACTCAGCAGATAGAAAGGGCGATTTGAACGAGGATCTGAGAGGCACCCCATCTGGAGCCAACTCTTTCAGGGGGAGGAGGCCCAGGGGACAACCGCAGTCGCCTTTCTAGGGGAGGCACCATCTGCAGAGAATGAAGCCACCTGCAGAGCTCTCTGGGAGGCCGGGGAAGAGGCAGAACCTTGCTCTATGAGACAAGGAAGGGCAAGTGAGCAGATGAGAGGGCAGGAATTAGAGAGAAGGAATCCTTCCAGAAATGGCCCCTGGAGACACTGCCTACAGAGGCAGGATTGGCAATGCCCGGGAAGGTTCAGGAGACCCATTTTGACTCTTCAGATGCTTGGAAGGGAGGAAGAGTGGACAGCACTTCCTTGGCATTTAGGGCCTCCCAGTTCCACCAGCCTTCCTGGGATGGAGCATCACTGCCCGCTCACACACACACCCCTTAAAAGGACCCTTATGTGGTGATGAATTCCTAGCCTGGGAGGTCACTCTGACAGAAGTGGTTCCTTCACTCTCTAACTCACTCGCTCACTTCTGTAAAGTCCCTTTCACCATCTCTTCCCACAAAGGGCATCCCAAAGCCCCACAGCCCCAGGATTGTGGTGCCTACCTTGGCACTGGAACCCTTGCTTCCCGAAGCCCCTGCAAAGGCAGAAGGAGATATGTTAGGGAGACCACAGCCGCCTGCTAGTTCCCCCACAGTCCCTCCTCCTCCCTACACCTCTACCCCAGGTGCAACCTCCTAGCCGCGGGTGAGTGCCCGAGAGGCTTCCGCCTTTGGGGGTTAGGTGGGAACTTGGTAACCTCAAACTCCCCTCACCCCGGCAGAGGAAAGGAGATTGCGACCACTGGGTGTGTGTGTGAGGGGGTGGGTAGCGTTTCCATCCGGTGGGAGTGGAGATCAAAAGGGAGATCTACCCACAGATGCCCTAAGTACCCTCGGGGAAAGAGAAGCTGTAAAAGATGCACCCAAAGAAGGATGAGAGAGGAAGGGGACTCTGGGGGGACTGGGAAGGGAGAAAGGAGCCCCATGCCTGGATGGACAGGAGAGAAGAGGCTTCGCGGTGACAGGGGAGGACTGAGGAGTGGAAAGGGCCACTCCAGGCCCCTAGGGAAGCGCAATAGAAGAGAACACCGGGAGCGGGGCGCTGCCCCCAAGACACTGAGGGCAGAAAAGGATGCCCCATGCCCGGAGGGAGCTGGAGAGAAGACACCCGGGGCGCTGCCTCCGGAAAGGGGGTGGGGGTAAGGGCGCCTCCCGCCCGGAAGGAGGCGGAGAGAGGGGTGACCCCGGGCTAGAGGGCACCCGAGGCGCTGCTCTCCGCGGGAGGGACAGGCGCCCCGCGCTCGGAGCCTGGTTGAGGGAAAGGGGCCCCCGGCGCTCCGGAGGGAGTGGGGAAAAAGCGAGGACAGGAGGCGCCGCGCGGCCGGCCGTCTCGGGCCAGAGAGAGGGACGCCACAGGGGAGTCCACGGGGGAGTCCGCAGCAGAAGCGTCCGGAGCGGGGACGCGGGACCCCTGGGGACGCGAGATGGTCCCCGCGCGCGGCGCAGCCCTCGGGGGCCGGCCAGGCGCCCTGCGCCGGGCGCGCTCTCACCAGATGAAGTCGGTGCAGTGGCTGCAGAAGGTGGGCTGCTTGAAGAAACGGGCGGTGAATTTGTGGTTCTTCACCTCGTGCACGTTCTTCTGCCGGAGGGCGCCTTTGCGGGCGAAGCGCACAGTGCTCTCCTCGCCCTCGCTCGGAGACGGCCCCGCAGCCGGGTCAGCCATCTTGCGCGCGGGGAGCGGGAGCCCGAGAGGGGCCGGCCCCGGGGCCGCGGGCTGCGGG